GAGCGGCAGGAGTTGTCTTCAGCGGTGTCTTCAGGCAAGCAGTCGGATGCGGAAAGCGAATCAGGACTTTCTAGCTTACCAAAGGTTTGTATTGCAAACAGTCAAATAAAAAATATTCAGTACTAATTACTCGCTTTTATTTATAGATTACAAGCGATGAGTCGCAACCAGAACACGCCGCGCCGTCAGCTACCAATAGCCAAAAAGCAATAGACTTTGAATTTGCCAAGCCTAATAAACTACCACGCAAGAAGAAATTACGACGCACACTCACCTGGAAGAAAGAAAGTTGTATCATTGAAAGTCGTTTCGTCCCCTCATCTACCGACTCCGAGACTGAACACAAAGCGCGTGCGAAGCCAGAAGACGAAGAAGTTGTATATGTTAACGTCGGTCAGTTTGCAAAGAAGTCTCCGACATCGGAACAGAAGAAGTCGCAAGAAATCAAGGAAATGGCTGCAGCGGCCCAACAAGCTGTCGATCAGGAGCAAGAAAAGGCTAAGCTGAATCAAACTCTGCTAAATAATATGAATTCCCCGCATAAAATTAAAAGCGTCTACACGCTCACACATTTGTCAACGCCCTCGAAATCTACCGAAAGCGAACCGCTTATGACGGAGAGCGATCCGGAAATAATGCGCAGACGTGTCCGTCACCAGACATCACTTTCGTCCCCAGCTATAGTACAGGCGCTGCTGCAAGAAAAGCGTACGCCTGAAAAGTCGCTCAATGTAGATGCACCAAAAACTAAGAAAGCACCAATGAAAACCCCACAAGAGGAAGACACATTGCAGAAACTTCTCGACAGTTTTATCGATCTAGGCTTTGAGACGGGTTCAAATGACATGGAAAGTCCGAAACGTCCAACAACAGCACCGGTGCCGAAGCCTAGAAGGAGTAAAGGCGCCTCGCCTCTTTTCATCAAACTTACACCCGATCTGGAGAAAACTCTACAGCAAAATCGCTCAAGCTTCTCATCGACGCCAGTTAGGGGCTTGCAGAACCAGTCGCCACATGCCTTCAATAGCAGCATCTCACGTCACCTGCAACAACAGCAAGCCCTTAGTCCTATAAGCACACTCAATAGCAGTCGACGTCGCTCACTACAAACTGACGAATCGCGTCGCAGCTCGATAGCTATGCAAGTAATTCGTGAAGATCGCCCCTTGGATAAGGTTGATCGTTCGCAAACACCCCACTCGCCGACTGTATCCGACGCTAGCTTCTTTGGTACCTCGTTTAACTTGAATATGACCAACAATAGTGAACAGCACGAGAAGCCGTCGAAGTTTTGGGTATGCGCTGAGGACTTTACCATATCGCTGGATGTCTTCTATAACCCACCAGATCGTCTACGTCTGCTATATGATATATTCTGCCAGAAGAGCTGTGAGACACGCGACTTACATTTTGGCATCGATGATTACAAATATTCCATCCACAATCCTGGCGACAAAGCGGACATTTCAACGCGTCTGCCGGCAATCAAAGGCTGCTCACACTATTGGTTCTCCACAGGTGATCTCGCTGTGCCATTCAGTGGCAAACATTTAGCGCCGGAAAAGATTGAGCGCTTGTTCAATTTTATCAACGACTCGATGACGGATAAATCGCAGCTACGCTTTGGCGTCGACGACTACGAATTCTCCAGCGTGCCTGAAAACTGGCAGAGCACGCCCAAATTTTCAATGGAGAGCAGTTATAGCATGCTAGTTGGCCTACAAGGCAGTAGTAATGGGCTGGAAGGACGTAGTCGCTTCGCTTGGCCTAATTCTGTTTACGACTCTACGAATTCGAACTCCAACTCCAACTCTATAAAAACCAGCGATCTGGATTACTCCTTGCTGGGTTCAGAGTTCGATAACAACGATCTACGCCAGTACAGTGAATCACCTATCGGCAGCAACTATTTCGATGTGGCGTCGGAGGACAATGAGGACATGATTATGCCACGCTCTAGCAACGCAACAATGTGTGATAATTTCTTCAAGGATAAATTTGATGTAGAATCATTGGATAAACTCTTTGAGGAGGATCTCAAGAATTCTAAGAACAAGACGGAGGAACCTAATTGGTCACAATCGCAATCGATACCCGAAATGCTGCAAAAATTACAGCAACAGAAGGTGAAACTGAAGGCATTGGAAAAACGTATGAAAACCTATTCCAATCACTCGGGTATCGCTGACGCTACCATACCACACTCAAACGAGTCGCCACATTATATGCAAAAGCTGCGCGTCATCATCAGTGCCATAGACAATATTGGACGCGATAATGGCTTCAAGGCTTGCAGCATGAAACAGCTGGAGAGCTTTATGTATTTTCTGACGCGCTATGCCGACATTTGTCTGGCGAGTTGTGATAAGCATATGAACAAAGTACTGGATGCCTTGCTAGATCAACAACAACAGCAGCAACAAGAATTGATCGAAGCCAATGCGGAATTGGGCGGGGCTTAGTATATCATGAAGGTGATGGATGACAACTGAGCTGAGCTTAAGGGGCTTTGGATATTGACGTGGAATTCCTTTGTAGATTTTAAATCTTGTACTTTGCTGCTGTTATTAGATTTAAGACACTTTTGGGTAAATGTAAAAAAAAAAAAACTATTTATTATCTCCTAATATAGTTGCATGCGGTTAAAAACAAGATTTGTGTTTTGAATCAAAGGGACAATCAGTTATTAAAAATTGCACGAAATTGCTTCAAAGGCCTACATCAATGTAGTAGAATCAAGCGAGCAATATTTTTTAGAAGCTTTTAACCCTTTAACACCTCTCGTTAGTGGTCTTTTTGACCCCTATTTGCGGAGGTTAATTAATAATGAAATTTTTATTTGTTGTCTAAATGTTATGTGAAAAAATTACTTGCTTCTAAATACAGTGACTGAAACAAGTGTTCACGTTTTGACTTTTTTTGTAAATATTTGCAATGTTTTTCAAGTTTTGTGTTTTTTCTACATACAAAAATATTGGCCAAGCTTTAGGGAAATTCAACAGATTTTCATAAAAAATTCGAGCTCTTTAATTTGAATCTTTACAACATTTTTGGGTACGCGGTTTTATAGTCCATACAATTTTAGTCTGATAAAGTGCAGGTTTCAAGCGGCAAAAAAATTCCGTTGATTTTTGAGATGTTTTTTGGTGACTTCTTTTACGTTTTTTTTTTTTATATATAACAAGTTACAAAAACTGGCGTCGGTTTTTTTTTTTTTTAATTTTGTTGCGAACGGTCTCCCGCATTTCATAAGAAATTCATGCTTATATGGAAGGAAGTGCAAAAATCCCTCAGCAAAAAAATCAACTCAGTTTCTTAGCACTTAAAACTTGCACTCATTAGACTAAAATTGTATGGACTATAAAACTGCGTACCCAAAAATGTTGTAAAGATTCAGATTAAAAAGCTCGAAATTTTGATGAAAAATTTTTAAGTTTTCCTAAATTTTGTGTAAAGTTTGAAACTTGGGTTTATATGGGTTTGACTAGAGCTTGGACTAAATTTGTATAGAAATATAACGAAAAATCGACACGTGAACAATTGTTTGAGTCACTGTACATATATGCATCTGAGCACAAAAGTTAATTTCGATATCGATTTATACCAAGGACGGTAATCACTATGAGTAAAATATTTAAATTTAAATCAGCATTTAATCATTATTTTATGATTTCTATTTTTTTTCGATCACAAATAATGCTTATTTTATGAATTTTATATTTTGTTGCACAGAGATAATAATTATTGGGACTTATCCTTTTATTAGGGTCTTGCTACCTTTGAAAAGGATACGACGGAAATCATGCTTGTATAGCTTTTGAGTTTTTTGAATGATCATTATTCTTAAGTGAAAATATAAAACTCAATAATAATTATTATCTTTGAACAAAAACAAAAATCATAAATTTATCATCCGTTTTGATCGAAAAAGCATTAATCACGTAACAATAATTATCTTTGAGCGAAAAATTAAAACTCAAATATTAGTTACTATTTTTAATCTTTATTGGTTAAACTCGAAAAATAAAAATCATCGTAAATTACAGTAGGAACGACGAACGAAAATACGTGAGTATAGTTAAAATTGTTTTTACTACGATTACAACTTGTTAATTTTTTTGGTTAAAATTTAAAAAATTATTATTTCCATCCCTGATTAATACATGAATTTTTGCCAAAAAATTTGAAACTTTAGCCCACTGGAAAAAAGTTTGATGAGATTGACTATCAGAGATGAAAACAAAGGTTTGGGCATAGTTTGGTTGAGGCCATAAACAAAAGCCCTAAACTTGTTTTACAGTGTTGATTAGCTCAGTGAGAGAGGTTGTTTGCATTGAACAGGAGCATTTATTCAATCAAAAGTTGATTGGGTAAGCAGCTGTGGGCAATGCTAACAATCAGATGTGGTGGGTAGGCAGCTGTGGACAGTGCACTTTAATAAATAATAATAATCTTTCAATAAAAAATACAAGCGAATGCTTGCAAGTATTATAGTAAAAAATAAATAAAATTGTGAATATTAAAAACAAAAATACGTTATCGAAAATTCCGATTAATCGATGAATACATTGAAAACTAGTTGCTATTATTTATTTTGCCTCGCAATTCAACATTTGATACATTTGTCGAGTATTAAATTTAAATTGCCATCCCGAGGACAATGTATCACATACAATTTTAAAATCAAGAAAATTTCAAATCGATGCTAAAAGAAAACGGCATATAAAATATCGATTTTTTTTGTATTTTGCTTAGGGCCAATTGCTTAGTTAACTCAGAATCGGCATTTAACTACAGATTTTCAGTACAAAAACTATAGTTAACTGCCGATTCTGAGTTAACTACGCACTGTGAATCTGGCCCTTATACATACATACGCTCTTTTGATCAACTTAATTTATTAAACTAATATTAAAAATTATATTTGTACATATATTTCCTGCCATACAACACAATCAAACTAAGCTCTTTCACTTTTCTTTCTTCCCTCCACTCTTCAGCCACCCGAAAATGAGCTTCAGAAATCGCACGATCACAATCCGGCCGCCTTGAGCGAACATCAGTTGCGCGTGCAGGCCTCGCTGCAGCGTCTCAACATACCCGACTGGTTCCGACAATACAATCAGAACACATCACGCTCGCCGGAGGGCAATACAGTGGTCGGCGGCGCCTACAAGCCCGGCAATTTCACACGCAAACGCACCACAGAATCTGGCCGTTGGGCGGGGCTCAACTCGAAGACCACATCACTCAGTTCGCTTGGCTCACAGCGCTCCGATCGCAGTCCACTACTGCTCAGCCCATCAGCGCATAGTCATCATGGCGGTCAGGTGGCGCAGCAGCATGGCACCGCAGGCACAAGCGCATACGGCACAGGTGGTGGCGGTGCAGGCGCATTTTCACGCTGGTCCACCTCGCATTTGAATTCGTCACAAACATCACCGAGCGTTTCGCAACGCGGCTCTTTCACGCGCGGCGGTCCAATCAACTCCAGTTTCATATCGGTGGCTAGCGGACAAAGTAGTGTGATAAGAAGTTCCTACCGGCAGCCATATTTGGGTTGGCGCAGTCAGGAGAAGCTGTCACAGCGCACGCCCCATGAACGGTGAGTAGCTTGCGAATGATTTCGAGTCATTTTTGCGGCTTCTACTAATTTGAGTACATTTGTTTTATTCTCGCCGTGCAGCTTGGCTTCGTCGTTACTCGCGCAACAACAACGCACATCGCCCACACAAAAGAGTGCCGGCGTCGCTGCAAATGGTGAAAATGGCAAATTGCTGCCAGTTACACCGGAAATACAGAGCTCCATTAAGGAGGTCACATCGGCGATTGTGCATTATGTGAACGATCAAACGCAACAACAACAACAGCGCAGCAGATCGACGAGTCCCAACTCGAGGTAGGCTGACGAAAAAATACTCGCAAAATTGCCAAGTGACGCCACAAGCGCCATTACGTAACGATGGCACGCACACTAGCACAAAATTAAACATAAACGTACACACACAAAAAATGAATCTTTAAGGAGTCTCATTTCGGAGCCTTTATACTCATAATGAGCTCATTTAAGAGTCCGAAATGAGGGTGTTTCCCCCTTCCTGCGAAGGTCGACTTATACGAGCTTAAATCCATACATCAAATGAGCGTCAATATGAGGCATATTGGACTCTTATTGGCCTCATATACGGCTCATGTTGGCCTTATTTGAAACAATTTTTTACCTCATACATATACGATTAATTTCAGACTCTTTTTGAGACTCTTATCGGCCTCATAAATTACTACATCGGACTCTTATTTTAGGTTGTTGTTTGAGTCTTATTGAACGCACTATACTTGCAAAGGCATTCACCAAAAATTTCTTGCAAATAGCATACATACATACTTACGTGCATATACATACATATATATTCCAACATGCCATTGATAGCAGCAGCTGCAGCTAAATTTTGTTTTTTAATTATTTAACTTTTTCGTTTTCTAATTACATACATACATACATATGTATTTTCAATTTCAGTATAAACAAGTTAAGATATAAATTTCGAATCTTTATTGTTTTTATATGGCACAAAGTGTGCTGGCTCAGAACTTGGATCATATATGACTCCTAAAAGATTCATATAAGAGTAAAAAATTTGTTGTTTTTGAAACTCATATTTCTTATCTACCTAGACTCCTTTCGGACTCATATATTCTGAACGCTCAGAATATGTTTGCGGCGTAGTCACTTTAAATACATATGTACATTGAAAATAATGTGACATCCTATGTAAAAAATACCCCGCAAACCAAAGTTCCCGAAATCTTAACAAAATCTTTAGGAGTACCTCATTTCTGTAACGATTTTTTGACGAATCTTCAAAGAAAATTATATGAAGGGGTTGACGCGAACTCGTAAAGAAATTTCTGTACGACAAATAGCACATAGCAGCATTATTTTCATTGCTTTACCGATTTTCTTCCGAAATTTCGTAAATGAATCGAAATGTGCATAATTTATTTCATTTTAGAAAATTCGGCAAAAGTCGGATGGGATCTTTACTAATTCTTTTCAATTTCTCTACAATTCAGAATACTTTGAAGAAAATGGTTTGCAGGGTAGTTTATTTTGTATTCTTGTATCTATGCGTGTCTGTGTGTGTAACTGTGCATCCTTTAAACGTATCTGGCTCACTCTGTATTGGTTCTAGAATTTTTTGTGCACTTAAACTGTATTTGTTTCACCACGCCCCCCAACCCCCCCCCCCCCCCCCCAAAAAAAAAAACGCAAAAATTTAAATAACACCAACAAAATCGTATATATATTTGTAGCAAAAAGCGTGAAGGCAACCTGTCAGTCAGAATTCGAACCTAAATGTCGTAATGTCAGCAAAAACCTGGAATCACAACAACCACCACCACCACCACCACCACCAACCAAGCAAACACCAAAAGCACCACAACTTTTTCGCTTTTAATAGATTTTACAATATTATTGTTGTTGTATTTCTCATTTATGTAGCTACTTGTAAATTATGATTTTGATTAGAGTCATTGATTGATTGGTTGATTGACGAGAGAGAGAAAGATGAGATGAGATGAAATGAGATTTGTAAATAAGCCGTTTTTAGTTGAAGAGGTAAGCAGTTTTTTTACCACTATTCATTGTTTATAATTTGTGTTTTGTTAACTTAAAATTGGTGTTTTTTTTCCTTTGACTACCGTTTCGTTTCGTTAGCATGCCATTAACTGAACTAATTTTAAATTCTTTATTATTATTATTATTATTTTTATCCAATACAAGCACACAAGTCAGCGAACTCATTCATTAATAATATGACGATAATTTTTCAAGACTATATTTTATGACGTAAAAATAATCGTAGCAAAGATGTTTAAAGCAAAAACTCGTAAATGGAAAACAGCATTCGTAACTGAAGCTACGACAGACTTAAAAAATTATATATGTACATATAAGTATATAAAGCACCTGTTTGGTCTATCAATTTTCAGTTTGTAGTCTTGTAGGAAAAGAGCTCAGCTTTTAATTTTTTGGCAAATATCATTTATGTCAAATGTCAAAGAATGCGGAATTTTATGTACATATGTAGATGATTAAGCTATTAAATATACAAAAAAAAAAATTTTAATTCCCTTGATTTTTTTCGTTTTGCCGGAGGGCTTATTTATAACACCTTTAAATCTGAACCGATTTTAAGAAAATTGACGTCAAAGGACATAGGTCGGTGCAGTGATCTATTCCTAGGACGCTAGGAAAGGGGTTTTCTAAAATATGTCCCAAGTTTGTTTTGAGAAGTTGACCGCTAAAGCGATGCTCTTTCGTATGATACCCACACCGCCGTATCGGTTCATATCTGGCCGAGCGAAAATATTTGTTGTAATTACTTAAACCTGCCATTTTGGGAAAACCGTTCCATAACGTGCTTTTGTATCAAAATTTCTTAGGTATGGAGCCTATTTCGCAAAAGTAAGAAAGTAGGCCACTGCCCCAACCTATGTCCTTAGGATTTGGGAGAGTTATATCGAAGTTTCTGCGTCTTTGCCTCTTTCCGGACAAATATTTTCGGAAGCGGATGTCAAAAATGCTTGCATACTTTAGGGCTGTCTCCGCCACAGGATGCACTTTCGTTTCACACCCGGATCTTGCAAATCGGTGTGAAACTTCGCTAGATATGCCGCATTTCTCGCCGGCAACATTTTCAATTTCTACCAGGCGACCATAAACCAGCAGAAAGGGTGCCGCCAGCATAAAAATCGCTATAACTCGGCCAAATAGGGACCGATTGCAGCAATATGGGTATCAGATGAAAGAGCAACTCTTAGCGGTACTTTCTGAGGGTTCTTATGCTGCACTCTTAAAAGCAGAGCTGTTATTTCAGCAAAACCTTTCTCTAACGTGCTTTTGTAGCGAAATTTCATAGGTTTGGCGCTTAGTTCGAAAAAGTAAAAGTGTAGGATACTGCGCCGGGCGGTGCGCTTTTACTTGAAATTAATTTTGTTAAAACCGATTCACATTTTTTAGAGTTATGGTGAAATTTCTGTGAGCTTGGTTTTTCTGAAAAAAATAAATCAAGTCGGACTTTGAATTTTTTTTTTCAAATATTTCCTCGTAATTTTCAAAGCGCATTCTTTCATCGTTAGCTTTAAAGTTCCTCAGGGATTTACAAAAAAAGGTCATGTTTTCTGAAAAGTTAATTTTTAGTAATTTTTAATTTAGCAAAATGTGCAAAATTACAGTTTCAAATTTGTTTAGCGTTCCAAAAAAAATTTAAATTTTTGCCACAAGCTTGCTCTTTCGAATCATGAATATTTTGCTTAATAAAGTTAGACCCGAATCTAAATATATAATGCTTTCATGTTTTAATAAGCCATATTGTTTTAAATATATTTTTTATTCATTTCATTTTATTATATTTTGTCTTCATTTTTCATTTTATTTTTAGTGCTAAATTTTTGCAATACATTTTCACCTTCGCTGGCTGGCCGTTGAGCCCGTAATAAGCGTATCGTAATTGGTCCATACTTGTATCTTTTTGCACTTATTCCATCAAATCCCTGAATGGGTGTTGTGAATTCTAGGAGTTTACAGTGAGGCATGTTGTATTCGGCGATCGCGTCCAACAAATAATTCTGAAAGCGTGTAGAGCGCTTGTTTGGTAGCATTTTTCCTGTAGTGAAAAATTAAAATCAATTAGATTTATAGATCTGAATTAATAGTAAAAAATATTTAAAAAAAAAAATGGCCGGCACCCTTTTGGTTGCCAGCCGCCATGACGATTAACAAATACCCAAACAAACAGTTTTATCGTGATACTATGGCCATTTAGTTTCCGTTTGATTGTTGTTAAACATACATACATATATTTCGTCTGTGCAAAAATATTGATTATATCACTCTTTGCTAGCCAAATTACTCCTTTACGCCAAAAGTTTCTTATTGGCTTTCGAATGCACGCAATTTGGTAGCTGCAGCGTCTGTGTATTTATGCGCATACATACATACATATGTATGTAAGTTTTATTTGTGAATTTGTTATTCGCCCAAAAATTTTGCCAGTTCAATTTAAATGCAATTCACTCAACTGTGTAGTGTCTTGCCCTATTTTTCGGTCAGTGCCCTTCACTGGCTCAACGAGTATCGCACAGTTCAGCAGTTTTTTCCTTGGTTCAATGGCTGAAATAGTTTGCATTTTTCTCTTTCACTAGCGTACTTGTTGTATTTGTTGCATTTTGCAAGTTAGTGCAGAGAAAAAAAAAAAAAAACAGAAACAACTGCAATGAAAATTTAATGAAAAGTATGGTGTGTAAAATACGCTGCGCTTCGGTTGTCATTGTTTGTATGTGGCTGGCAAAAAATAAATAATTATTAATATCCGTCAAAGGGGGCATAATTAAATGATAAAAATTAAAATATTTACACAGAGGGTAGAAGCAAAAGCTATAATGGTTTTAAAGTAAAAGTCCTAAAAATGCATCCCTCTCGAAATATTATAAAATTGCTTATGTCCATACATATCCAAAATGTACTTAAGGTATAATTTGATAGAAATCGAGGGCCCTAATTTTGGATACAACATCAATTTCGAGCACTTTTTCCACTAAGTCGGGTCGTGTGTCGTGAATAGCGCTGTATGGCTTGTATCACCGTCTCGTGGAAACCTGTTGTTGTCAAGATCAAGTTCTCTCAATTTCGGCCATAAAAGGTTGGTTATCATCGAACTTTACTGCTCTGCATTGACATAGATGGTGTCTCCAGCTTCAGTACGGACCGGTAATTCCGCCTGACCAAAACCCACACCAAACAATGACTAACGGTGAATGTTTGTGTTTAGGTGTTTGTTCGGGAATAATATGTGGATTTTGTTTACACCAGATCCGACAGTTTTATTTATTAGC